TAGTAGTACGTAGTACGTAGTAGTACGTGTGTGTGTGTGTGTGTGTGTGTGTGTGTGTGTGTGTGTGTGTGTGTGTGTGTGTGTGTGTGTGTGTGTGTGTGTGTGTGTGTGTGTGTGTGTGTGTGTGTGTGTGTGTGTGTGTTCCCTCTCCATCAGCTGTCTCTGAAGGAGACCAAGCTCCACACAGCGCTCCCTGGAGAGTCAGCTCATGAGCACCAAGAGCAGCGACTCCAGCCGCGACTTCAGACTGAAAGAGATGGAGGGCAGGATGAGGGCGATGGAGAAGGAGAACGAGATGCTCCGACAGAAGGTAACACTCCACCTTAGGTTATGTGTTTATAGCGTCGTGGACAGTCCCCATTGATCAACTGTCACAAATAAAACTGTAAATGGGGACGCTTTAGCCAACATTGCTAATTTCCAGCCAGATGATAAAAGAAACCTTTAAAATCAGAATACCTGGTTTCATCATGTCCTCAAAATCCCAGTGGACGTAATGCAGCTGTTCTGATTCAAGCTTAGACGTTGCAGAACAGTGAGAGAAAAGCTCTTATTACATGACTCTCATGTTGGTGCGCCTCCATGTAGCTTCACAGGCCAGCTTTTGTTCCCTTCGTAAATCAATCAAGTGTGGATTCTTACACAGGTTGATGCATGTCTGCTACAGAAAACGATTAAAGGTACATTAATTATAATTAAGGTTAGTCAGTGGTGGTTTGTAGGCTTATCTCCACACTCGGCTCCTCCTTGCCCGTGGGGGAAGGCCCATTTCACTCCTTTTTCAGATTGACGTTTTTAGTATTGCTTTTATGTGTTTCTTTCGATGCTGTGTTTAATGCATGCTTAAGATCTCACACCTGGTCGCTTTGTTTTAATAAAGGTTGACACCAAGAATAGTTACAAACACAGAAAGATGAGCTATAGGTGCTTTCACACCGCAGTACTTTTCCCACAAAGGTTCATCAGAACTTAGTTCATGAGAACTCTTTGGTTCTCATGAACTAAGTACAGATCTCGTTCACACCGGAATAAGTTCCTGAGGGAGGATTAGGCAAATGAAGCCGCTGACGTCACTTCTTCTTCTTCTGCTTTGGGTTTACTGGCAGGGCGCAAACAAGTTCACGGCGTATACTGCCACCCGGAGTCCCCGGCCACAAGTCCCCGGAGTTGGGGACTGGCTTCAGTAGAAGCTGCTGGGACTCCCAGCAGCTTCTACTGAAGCCTTCAGAGTAAATTGCCAGAACGCCGACACCTCCTCATCTCCACCGCTCCCATGTTTTATTTTGTGTTGCCATAAGTTAGTCTCTCTGCGTTTCTGCACTGGGCTAATGCTAATGATGCTAATGCTAATGCTAATAATGCCAATGCGAGGATAATAAAATGGCGGCTTCACAAAACTTTTGGGAGTTTTACGGGGTGTGGTTTGCAATCCGCCCAGCCAATCAGACATAGGAACCTTTTTCTCCCACGAAAGTCCCTGCTCTCTAGCAGGGATGGAAAAGGGGGTAGAAAGGTTCTCATTAACTCATTTTAGTTCCGGATTTTTTTGGTGTGAACGCAACATTTCGGAACTATATCGGAACTAAAGTGGGAAAAGTACTGGGGTGTGAAAGCGCCTATTAACATCGTTTTTATTAGTAAAACCCTACTCATTGTGCACTAAATTTCTCCAATCTATGTGTGAACATATCAGCTTTAAGTAAACCTGAAGTGTAAGGAATTAAAAGCAGTATTCATTCCAGGTTAATGAGGATAAAACAAGGTGTTTGTTACTGATAGAGATAGAATAAAAGATAATATATCATATAAATGTAGCTAGCTGAGTTCATTGCTTTGAAACTAGAATAATAATGTTAAATTCACCTATGAGATTTAAAGCAACATCTTAAAGTGATTAACAAATATAAAACTGTGTTATGAACAGAAAGCCTCTATATTCATTTGTTTGGGATGTTTTTAAAATGTATGACATTTGATATTGATTATTTCACTTTCATTTAATGTACAAAATAATGAATGTTAAACAGTAATTGTAGTAAGCTAAGCACCATTTCTGTCACAATATGTTTTTTTATTGTTTTGATAACATTTTGTATCCGTGCGTTTGGTTGTTTAATACAAAAATGATAACGTTACGGAGGAGATCAGAATAAATGAGGGGGATATAAAGATAAAAACGTAGAGCCAGGCAGTGATTTCTTGTGGTTCCTGTGTGTGTCCTGCAGCTGGCGGGGCAGGCGAGCAGCTCCACCCTGCACGTGAAGACGGAAGAGTTATCCCGTCAGTACAAAGACCAGCTGAGCGCCATGAGAGACGAGAAGGACCAGGAGATCCAGAGGCTGCGGGTGAGAAGACAACGACTAACAAGAGACTGCTTTAGATATCCCTGACTCGATATTATAATATACATTCATAGTGACATCTTCAGTCATCCTGTAAATCTGTTTAATACTTGCATTTATTTTCAACCACTGGCATTAGAACAGCTGTGCTCATTAGCATATTAGCATGCTAACACACTGAAGAGGGCTAACGTGGTAAACAATATACCAGCTAACATCATCATGTGGAGGTTATGTGTGTGTGTGTGTGTGTGTGTGTGTGTGTGTGTGTGTGTGTGTGTGTGTGTGTGTGTGTGTGTGTGTGTGTGTGTGTGTGTGTGTGTGA